CAAGAACAAACATTCTAGCAGAATAGTATGAATTCAGTTTTATTTCGTTCGTATAGGACATCAAGTCGATACCCTACAATCATTCCAGGTGATTAGTAAGAAGCCAAACTCCAGTCTTCTGTAGTTTGCTAAAGCAGTTGCTATCAGATGCCAAAAACCAGATTTATGTGTTCAAAAGGAGATAGTTATTAATCTTTCCTTGCATTGGTGACTAATATTCCTTCACGGTATCTTAATATATATATATATATATATATTCTTTTTCTTTAATCTCTTTCTTGTACTTATCACATCTTCCAAATTATTAATCTTAATTTATCAACTGAACTCTACTCATTTTATTCCTATCAATGTTTACTTGTTTCTAGCCGTTTGAACTGTTGTCACAATGTTCTTTCATCACATAAGGTATATATTTACAATATTCAGTCTATTCAATTTATTTACACCCTTGCTATACTATTCGAATATGTCTTCAATATAACTTCCAATCAAACCCTCTCATATAAATCATTTAAACCCATCATGTAATTATGATTTATAAATATTACAGGTTGTAAGCAGCTGACGAGAACCAACGAAATAAAATGAATTCATGCTATTCTGCTAGAATGTTTGTTTTTGCTCTTTTCAAGATGTACTTATAGTTTATAATTATTCTTACTAAAATCATTATGTGCATATGTAGCACAAATCACTCAGTACCTTATATAACCCCTGTGAATTTTAAAGTGAAGAGGAAAGAAAATCGTAAATCATGATCACTCAGATTAGTATTAAAATTGGCACCTAAAATTGAATGAAAACTCCAAAACAATGTATAATTTCAGAAGGGGTTTTGTGGATATTATAGTAATTTTAATAGTTGGGATCATGAGTCAATTAAAGCTAGACCACCATGGAAAACCTGATAGCATTGGATGGCCGTTTCGTCCTATTGTGTGACTCCTCAATAGTGCACATCCACGATCCCGCCTCTCGCGCTTCAACTGACTCATGATCTTAACTATTAGAATTATTATAATATCAACAAAAAACCCTTTTTTATATTAATCAACATGTTCTCACTTCAAGATGCGTTTCCTGGAGTTCTAGTGAAAAGCACTGATCAGTGGAGTTCAACTGGGTCTGTTGTGAGATAGTGTTATATCTTGTGACCGCGGATTAGAGGGTAGTGACTTATCGATCAGACCAAGGTCGCGTAAAACACGTGCGAGCAGTCTAGAGTCCTGATTGGTCCTGCTTTCCGCCTAGCCCAATCAGTTAAATCCAGAATACCGATCCCAGCCTCTGCGATATGAATCATGTATTTAAAACATACTCGGTTTATATACCGATCAAACAGACCACGACGTACCAATAAAATATCAAACAACATTTGTACAAGAATTAGCCAGATGTGGCTGTGAATGAGGGAAGTAGTAATTAATATACTGGGTATAACTCAAGAATGGTAAAACGTATAATAACAGTTTATGGGCCAAAATAAAGCTTATAATAAGAGAAATATGAATATGCATAGTTTAGTTACTTAATAATTATACAATAGAAATATACGTTTAGTATTGGTCCGTCAATAGATCACAAAAGTTACCATTCATTATTCCTGTTGCGATATAGCAGATAGTAGCTTACTGAAGACAATGGTGGATGTGTCACTCAATTTCGTGAACTGGTTGAAGTTAAACATTAACACCGTTGGATGACGACCGGCTCAGTGAACTAGTAGTTAAGCGTCCACGCGCGAGATCGATTGGTTCTAGGTTTGAATCTCTCGTGGCGGGATCGTAGATGCGCACTACTGAGGAGTCCAACAATAGGACGAATCGGCCTTCCAGTGCTTCCGGTTTTTTCCATGTTTGTTTAGCTCCAATCGACTCATGATCTCAACATATTTATTTCTTTATTTATCTGATTATTATAAACTCTGGATGTTCAATATAACTATAAAGTTTAGAACGACTTAATAATTGTTCAAAATTTGATATCTGCCTAAACCATCACAAAAAGTGAACTTAAATCATATTATCATGCAAAATATCAGTTTTAAAAAGAAAAAAGAAATTAATGGCTAAAATTTGATGATTGAGTCATTGAAACTTTGTTTATCATTTTCATTAGTAAACAGTTGTGTTTGTTTTTTACTTGATGCAATATACACTTTAAAATTATTAAACGTTTAATGGTCCGTAGTGTCGGTTATTATGTTAAGCCCATATACCTTATTCTAGCTTTCGGACAGCCCATTCTATTCATTCTACTTGAGTCACATTCTGACCTTGTTATTTATTCGCTTATCAATCTTGACTGTTTTTATATGAGCGCATAAGTGTGTGGACATTTCTTATCCCTTTACTCATCACATGTCTGTAACTTACTTTTGTATAACTATAAATATTAATTAACGCTTGGTTAAATGCGAGTTGGCTTACCCGCCATCTCCACTTTGCGTCGTTTCTCTTCTCTCTATTCCATTCGCTTTATATACAAAATATATGTATTCACGAGTCCATTCTCGTTATTCGACTTATATAATTCCGTCATTGACTAACGTGATTTAATTCAATGATTATATACAAGGATAGGCGATAACAAACATTCATACGTTCTAATTGGAGTCGGATTTTGGGCCACTAAAAATCTACACAGTTTTTGTGAATGCCTTCTGATTATATCTCTGATTAACAACCGCTTATTGCCTATACTAATTTATTTAAATATAGAAACCTTTATTATGAAGTTGATTATGATCCTTGAAATAATAGTATAACCATCCAATCACTCAATTAATTAATCAATAATGGTCTGAATGATATTTGTTAAAGTTATTCAAACTTACCCGATTTGAAATTTATCATAAACAAGTCACATATCAAACAAAAGAAACATTTTACAAAGTATTCAACGATGAATAATTAGTATTCGAAAATATGCAAATTCTTTTGTGTAACTTTTTGATATTATTTATCAAAATTAATTAAGTTTATGTAAAATATGTAACATGTACTGATATCCATAGTTTCTTTATTTTGAGCTAATGGAATCTGATTACGAAGTTTACTTACATGCTTACTTATGTTCGTTACCCCTCGGCGATGAACATGGGCCACTCACCAGAATTCTTCATTCAACCATGTCGTGGCCAATCCTTTCCAGTGGTTAATCATCTTTTTTCATGTGTGCTTCCAATTCTCAGTGATGCGTGTTCTTTGGCCTTCCTCTTTTCTGTTTCCCTTCAGGATTCCAAGTTAGGGCTTGTCTCGTGATGCAGTTTAGTGATTTCCGTAATACATGGATCAAGAAAAATTGAACTAGAATGTGAAACATTGGAAGAAATCAAGAGGATTCTAAACAAGCATGGTATAAGAGTGTATTTTAGGGCGATTGACACCGTAAGATCGATATTAGTGAAAGTTAAGGATAGGTTACCAAAGGAAGGATAACAAAATAATGTTTATGAAACTAACTGTTATGATTGCAATGCAGCTTATGTGGGAGAAGTATACAGATAATTGAATGTGAGGTCGAAGGAACACAAACAGTGTTTGAAAAATATTCCTGAATCTTCGATTGACTTAAAGAAACTTCAGAATAAGTCTGCGATAGCGTTACATGCGTTAAAAACAGGACACAAAATTAATGTTGAAAGGACCAAAATAATTCAGATAGGTTTTAACACTCATAAAGACTGACAGCAGAAGTGCTGTATACATGGGCGAACAAGAGCAACCTGAACCGAAAGGATGGTATTCAACTAGCGACCACCTGGCAAATATTCATTGACAAGTAATTTTGACCCTTTCTTTATTCAACCTGTTTATTTCGCATGCATCGTTATTTTGACTGAAATTAATGAGTTTTTTAGCATTGCAATAATGTATTTGATGTTTCTCAAATTGACATGCACATCAATGATTAAGAAACAATTTTTCAACCTTGAACTTGCACTTTTATTTGTTTATCTACTCCTTCATATAAAACATAGTAACACCGAATATCAATAATTAATAACTTAATCTTACACATACATACATTGCTACACACACTTACATACACACAATTCGTTTTCAGCTAATTATATCTACGTTGTGAAGTTTTCACATGATTACCATGTAACTGACTCACATTATCATATTTTACAAAAATCAACATCTAAATATGATTGGATTATCACGGTATGGTTTTGATTACTAAAAAGCTATATATTTCTTTGATGATTTTGATTGTTACCCTGAAGAAGTCCAGACAAGTTAGCCGGACGAAACGTTGAAATTATTGAAATTTCAATTGCTGAGATTATTATTTCAAATATAATTTTCACATATAATGAATCAAGAATTGTTGTTTGTCATATATAGAATCAAATCGTTGATGTTGGGGCTGACTAATATAAAGTTTTTGATTGAGATCATGAACCGACTGACGTTAGACCACCATTGACAAAACGGCCATCCAATGCTGCTCACTAGTGACTGACTTCAACAGGCATTTCCCGAAGTTCTGGTGAGAAGCCATTACCAGTGCAGTTCAACCAGTTCTGTAGTGAGATATCAGCTCACTGAACACAATGGTGTACGGTGGCACAATTTCGTGGATTGGTTGAAGTTAGACATTAACAATGTTGAATGCCGGCCGGCTCAGTGGTCCAGTTGGTTAAGCGCCTGGCGCGAGACTGATAGGTCCCTTGTTCAAATCCCACGAAACGGCGTCGTGGATGCGCACTGCTGAGGCGTCCCATAATAGAACCAAACGGCCGTCTAGTGCTTCTAGGTTTTCCATGGTGATCTAGCTTCAATTGACTCATGATTTCAATCATTGAAATTTCTAAAAATCTTCACAAAACCCCTTCTGATACAAATAAATAAGTCTTCAAAACAATATCTTTATTTGAAGCTACATAACTTTATACTATTCAAGATAGGTAATATATAAATTCTTTGTTTATCCGTGTTTTTTAAGAGTTAATGGTTGTTCATTTATCGTATAAAATTATCTTTCATTCATTTCTCCCATTTAATAAATAATAATCCTCTATATTCACTCAATTTACGTGACTATTTAAGATACAATTAAAATAAACAACTACATGTACAGGGAAAAAAACAACAACTCTGTAGTCTCATAGAGTGTGCAAAAATTAATTAAACGTTATATCAAAATTCATTAGAACATATGTATGGTTCCAGCCAATTAGTGAAATAATACAACCATCCTTCACTATCACTGATGAATACTTACTGTTTAACACCTTCGAATTGATTCGATACATTGTTGAAAAGTTTCAAATTTAGACAAAATTGTCGGTCGAAAATCTACAATTGTCAATGGATTTTTTTTAAAGCTTTTTAGCATATTTTTTCAAAATCTCGAAATATTCTTAACCAAAAGTGTCTAAATCTAGTTTCACGAAATTCTTCTCTCAATACAAACATAAAAATAACTATGTTATTGTGTTATTTCACAAATGCCAATCAAACATTGATAAGTTCTCTATTCATTTTTCTCCTTACAAAGTGAAATATGCGTCCCAACATTTGTATGACTGAACAATATGAAATAAAATTTAAGTACAGATATGATAAAAGATAAAATACTTCATTAAAAGAAAAACAATATTAAAATGAAATTATCAACATGAGGTTGTGGAGATTGTTCAGTTCTTGATTGAAATTATGAACCGATCAGTGTTAGATCACCATTGAAAACCTGGAAGCATTATATGGCCTATTGGTCCTAGTATGTGACTTATCAGAAGTGAGCATCGACGATCTCGCACGCGGGATTCAAACCCAGGACCTTTGGTTTTGTGCGCAAACGCTTAACCTCTAGACCATTGAGCTAACATCCAACGGTATTAATGTCTAACTTCATCCAATCCACGAAATTACGAGACCATCTTCGATCGTTCTCGCTGGGTAGCTGCCTTATACACGAAGATGGTCGCGCAATTTCGTGGACTAGTTAGAGTTAGACATTAACATCGTTGGATGCCGGTCGGCTCAGTGGTCTAGAGTTTAGGAGTTCGCGTGTGAGACCGATAGGTCCAGGGTCCGAATCTCGCGAGGTGGGATTGTGGATGTGCACTGGGGAGGATTTCCGCAACAGGACGAAATGGCTGTCCAGTGCTTCTGAATTTGCCATGGTGGTCTAGCCTCAATTGACTCATGATCCCAACTATTGGTATTACCTTTTAGTTAAGTATGAAGAATACACATTAATTTCTAAATAAACAAAAGTATAACTATAATTATTTCTTTATTTTTATTTTGCACATCAGTGTAACAATATGCTGGTATGATTTGATCACAGAAGAGATTCTATAATGGACAAGGTCATCTCGAAAGATGTTCGAGGTATAAGGGTCGCACACATAAAGATGGGATACCTAATCTTAAGGTTTCTGAAAAGGAAACCTAAATGGTAGTGATCTTTGCCACCGTAGTTTAACCTAACTGCCATCACACTTCTGTACAGTCAGCTGTACGATTTCTCCCTCCGATCATGTGTTCATTGATTATAGTCAAATCGCTCTCCAGTCAACTTTTTAATATGAAATGACTTAAAGGAACTATTCCAGCAAATATAGCTCGATTGAGCTTTCAAATCAAGTGAGCCAAACCAATAAACCAAGCTAGCAGCGAAGATTGATATAGTAACTGGACTAAAAATAAATTACAGTACATCTAAATTAAGATGTTTGAACTGGATCTTTATGGAAGCATAATTTTTCACGCTAAAAATCAGTCATTAATATTGATGACTATTATTTAATTCTGCTTTCAATAAATGTCTTAAACTAAATACTGCCTGTGTTTATGTTTGACTGATATTGTATCAAAACTCCGCCTGTAGCTCTTCTAGAGTTACTGCCGGTCCCAAGCCCGGGTAAAGGAGGAGGGGTGGGCATGGGGTTAGCGTCCCCATCCCGTAGAAAACTAACTCGCTAAAAAAACGCTTACCAGAAAAAATAATTCAAGTCATTTAAACTCTACCCTGAAAGTTAGGTCTTCATTTAGAAGAATTATGACGCTTCGTGGTGAAAGCCGAGTCCCTTCGGAAGCCACGAGGCCGATGCCCCTTCTAACAACCAGAGCAAACATTTTTATAGGTACATGGAACGTCCGAACAATGTGGGAGATCGGGAAGACCAGTCAAATAGCAACGGAAATGAGGATACAACTTGGCAGTACTGGGAATCAGCGAAACCCATTGGACTCAAGCTGGACAACAAAGGCTAAATACGGGAGAGATGCTGCTGTACTCCGGTCACGAAGAGGAAAATGCTCCACACACTCAGTGAGTTGCTCTAATGCTGTCCAAAGTAGCATGAGATGCACTTGTAGGATGGGAATCTCACGGATCCAGAATCATCAAAGCATCATTCAAAACAAAGAAGGAGGGGATCACAGTGAGTATTATCCAATGTTATGCACTCACCAATGATAGCAACGACGACATCAAAGATTAATTCTACGAGCAGCTACAGTCAATCATAGAGAAGTGCCCAAGAAACGACCTCACCATTCTGACGGGAGATCTAAATGCCAAAGTCGGAATAGACAACATCGGATATGAAGATATTATAGGACGACATGGACTGAGAGAGAGAAACGAGGATGGGGAAAGTTTTGCAAATCAGTGTGCATTCAACAAATTGATCATAGGCGGCACAATACATCCACACAAACGTATACACAAAGCTACATGGATCTCACCCGACCACACCACAAAGAACCATATAGATCATATTTGCATCAATAACAAATTCCGAAGGACAATGGAAGATGTGAGAACCAGGAGAGGAGCTAACATAGCTCCAGATCACCACCTAGTTGTGGCCAATTTAAAACTGAAGCGAAAGACGAACTGGACAACTGGACAAACAGCATTACAAAGGTTCAATACAGCCTTCCTTCGAGATACTGACAAACTCAATGAATTCAAGATAGCTCTCAACAACAGATTCCAAGCCTTACAAGATCTACTGAAGGAAGAAGAAACTACTATGTAAGACAACTGGAAAGGCATCAAGGAAGCATTAACTTCAACGTGTCAAGAGGTTCTGGGTCTAAAGAAACACCATCATAAGGAATGGATCTCTACAGAAACACTGGACAAGATCAAAGAAAGGAATAACAAGAAGACAGCAATTAACAACAGCCGAACACGAGCAGAGAAAGTCCAAGCACAAGCTGAATACATAGAAGCAAACAAACAAGTGAAGAGGAGCATTAGAGCCGATAAGAAGAAATACGTGGAAGAACTAGCAACAATGGTGGAAAAAGCTGCAAGGGAAGGAAATATGAAACAGCTTCACGATACAACGAAGAAACTAGCAGGGCAATACAGTAAACCAGAGAGACCAGTCGAGGACAAAGAAGGCAAGCCAATCACTGAAATTCAAGAACAGCGGAACAGATGGGTAGAATACTTAGAGGAACTCCTGAATAGGCCGGCTCCAATGAATCCACCGGACATCGAAGCAGCGCACACAGATCTTCCTATAGATGTCAATCCACCAACGAAGGAAGAAATCAGAATGGCCATCAGACAAATCAAGAACGGGAAAGCAGCAGAACCTGACAACATACCAGCTGAAGCACTGAAGTCAGACATCGAAGTAACTACAAATATGCTTCACCTTCTATCCAAAAAGATTTGGGAGGAGGAACAAGTGCCGATGGACTGGAAAGAAGGACACCTCATCAAGATTCCAAAGAAAGGAGATCTGAGCAAATGTGAATACTACAGAGGCACTACACTACTGTCAGTACCAGGAAACGTCTTTAACAGAGTGTTGCTGAACCGGATGAGAGATGCAGTAGACGCCCAACTTCGAGATCAACAAGCTGGATTCCGTAAGGATCGGTCGTTCACAGACCAAATTGCGACACTACGGATCATCGTCGAACAATCAATTGAGTGGAACTCGTCACTGTACATCAACTTCATTGATTATGAATGGACAGCTCGGAATCAATTAGACGATTTGGACTTCGCAGATGACCTGGCCCTCCTATCGCATACACATGAACAAATGCAGATCAAGACGGCCAGTGTAGCAGCAATCTCTGCATCAGTAGGCTTCAGCATACATAAGGGGAAAACCAAGGTCCTCAAATACAACACGGAAAACAGCAATCCAATCACTCTTGATGGCGAAACTCTGGAAGTTGTAGAATCCTACACATACCTGGGAAGCATCATCGATGAACAAGGAGGTTCAGATGCAGACGTAAAGGCGAGGATTGGCAAAGCAAGGGCCGCATTCCTGCAATTGAAGAACACATGGAACTGAGTGGTGACCAATGTCATGCTTCTCTAGTCCTTATTAATGCAGATCGAATGCTATCGATCATGTTGCAATGTGGTCACCAGTCTATAGTGCCAGCAGTGTCGAGTCACCTAGACTGGTGGTCACGTTGCAACATGGTCGATAGCATTCGATCTGCACCAATAAGAACTAGACAAGCATGACATTGATCACCACCCAGTGATCAATCAATTGTGACTAAATCCTAGTCATAATCATTATTCTAAAAAATAATGTCTGTTGAACTAAAATTCTTTTTGATTAAAATCATGAACCGATTGATGCTAGACCACCGTTGGGAGCCGTGACCAGTGGTGCTAATTCATGTCGAGTAGAGACAGGTATCTATCTCAGTACAATGGAAGATGGTCGCGTAATTTCGTGGATTTGCTAAGGTTAGACATTAACATAGTTGGATGACGGCTGGTTCAGTGGTCTAATGGTTAAGCATTCGCGCGCGAGACTGAAGGTCTTGGGTTAGAATCCTGCGAGCGAAGTCGTGGATGCGCGCTGCTGAGGAGCCCTACAATAGGACGAAACGGCCGTCCAGTGCTTCCAGGTTTCCAACGGTGGTCTAACATTAGTCGGTTCACGATCTCAATCAAAAACCTAATAATCTCCACAACTCCTATACTGAGAACTCAAATTCTATTAAGTTAGAGAAGCAGAGAAATGTTATTACAGTAATTCTCATTTCTCTTTTTTCCGTTGCTAATTCTCATTCGTATTCACTTGGCAACATTCGTTCATTGCTTCACTTAATTATATAACTGCACTTAAGAAATACTTAAACATTCCAATGAAAATCACACCTTATCTTTTTAAAATTCTGATACAGATCTTATGATCACATTCTATACTTAGATGACCATAATAATTGATATTAACGAATAAATCACCGATAAACTGGAATGGAACGATATATCATTAGGGAAAATTAACTGGTTTATGCATTATATGTCTGTTCTCATTCAATAGTTCAAGGTCATCGAAATAAAAATTAACTGGAATATTAATTCTTTTATCAAACAATCATAGTTCAGTTAGATCTATGTCAATTATTTATTGTTTTCAATAGTTGAAGTCATGAGTCAATTGAAGTTAGACCACTATGGAAAACCTGGAAGCACTGGACGGCTGATTCATCCTAGTATGGGACTCCTCAGCAGTGCGCATCCACGATCCTGGCCCCGGAGAGATTCGGACCCAGAACCTATCAATCTCGTGGTCAAGCGCTTAACCATTAGACCACTGAACCAGCCAGCATCCAACATTGTTAATGTCTAACTTCAACCAATCCACGAAATTGCGCCACCGTACACCATTGTCTTCAGTGAGCTGATATCTCACTACAGAACTGGTTGAACTCCACTGGTAATGGCTTCTCACTAGAACTTCGGGAAATGCCTGTTGAAGTCAGTCACTAGTGAGCAGATGATTATTATCAGAAGGAGTTTTGTGGAGAGTTTAGAAATTTCAATAGTTGAAATCATGAGTCAATTGAAACTGACCACCATGTTTTATTACAATTAAATTAGCACAATAAAAATAATTGCTAAGATTCTTAAATGATATGCTTTCATATTTTAACCAAATGACTTTTTCAGTTGATTTATGTGTCAATTCGATATACGTGAATGTATAGAGAAGTCAACATGTGTGAAATAATTTCAGCGATTGAAATTTTTAAATAACCCCACTGTTTCGTCCAGCAAACTTATTGGAACTTCTTCATGGTAATCATCAACATCAAAATCAACAAAGAAATATATAGCGTTTTAACAATCAAATCAGATCAAATCTACACCATACGAATCCAATCATATTTGAATGTTGATTTTAGTAAATAGGATTATTTCAGACATAATTTTCACATATAATGACTTCTCTATATTCGGTGCCTAATTTTTGTCAAAATATTCGTTCTAATGGTATTTTTTGCTTGAATCTTTCCATCGAGGTTCAAGACTACAATTGATCACTCTGTTATTAGCATCTGTGCGTATTGCCTCGATATTGCCTTAATTCACAAGTTTTATAAGCAAATATGGATAGTGGTTAGCAGTGGAACCCAGGACGCGCATTTCTTCTTATTTGGGACTTGTCAGCTGGATGTACCTGCATCTCATAATTTATGTTCACTCTAGGACTCGAACCCAGTATCGTTCGCTTCAAACGCCATCGCGTTTTCAATGATTTAGATTCTAATATTGACAAATATTCATTTATTTTTTAGTAAATACATTCTTAAATGATATACTTTCATATTTTAACCAAATGACTATTCCAGTTAATTTTTTGTCGATTCATTCTATTGGTTATAGAAAACTGAATATGGAGGTTAGTTATTGGCTCAAAATTAACTACAGAAAATGTCAAATTTCTAGTAATCACAGTAAAAGTGATTGGCAAAACAAAAATTGAGAATATAAATGGTAAACCAACTTAATAGTCAATTAGAGTTATATTCAAGACGGGGTGTTAATATCTTGAATATAAACACTTCAAATGATATCAGACGAGGATTGGCAAAGAAATGGCCCTAACTTGGAATACTTAAGCAACTGAAGAACCTAATGAACAACTCGTAGAGGATGATCACAAAACATTTTAAGTGATTATTTTTGCAGTATTACTCTTATATTTGTCTAAAGCTTACCATAGTAAATGTGTGGAATGAGAGGATGGAAAATTTAAGATAGAAATTTTCAACTTCTTTTGTTTATGGGAAGGTAGTTTAGTTATAAATGATGGTAGAGTTATATAGTTAGCTTTGATCTACACTTCGTGCTAGGGTTAGTGATACGTTCTGGTTGCCCAAACTGAAGTACATAAATGTGCACTTAAACTGGCGACTCTTAAATCGAGAGTAAAGTGTTTCTAACTCATAAATCATTGCTTCGCCTCAACAGTTAAACGATAAAACACTCAAGAAATAAGACTGTTTGCGCCAAATGAGCCTAATAGTGACAAAGAAAAAATTGACTTACTTGCGGAAAAAGCTTTACTACATATATGACAAACATGAGTTTTTCAGCTGTATGGATAGACATAACATGACGTTTAAGCTTGTCTTCACGTACGAAGCTGCGACCACAAGTGTCACACATATGTTTTGGTTCTTCATGCATAACTCGATGTTTCAGAAGTAAAGCCTTTTGTGAAAACGCTTTATTGCACGACAAGCATAAGAATTCACCCTTCACATCCGTTTTATTCCAGTTATTAGGAGAAGCATTAGACAAGCTTCTGGATAAGTGATCCTCTGAACAAACTTCACCATCTGAAGATTCGTTGGCCACCAAAGAGTGATGAAAGCGAACGCGATCCTGATTATTACCAAAAAACACAATAGGTATTTGATCCTAGATTATTGACAATAATTCAAGATAACAAATGTAGCTTTAAAAAGATGTTATTTCTAAATATTTATATTGCATGTGGTAACTAGAACACTAATATGCAAATATATGGAATCACTTGTCTTGTTAACGACATAAACGGACTTAGAACTCCACATTATTATATTTGAGGATTTGTCAACCTATTTTAATATTAATTACACCTTTTCACATTATTTCTGTAGTTTTTTACTATGTACTGACACAGGAATTTATGCTCTTGGATAAAATCATCATTATTATCATTTGAACACATAAACAATGGCACAATGAGGCACCAAATATATATCAGCCACACAAATCATTTGGGTTGTGTGAGGGCTGAGATACTGTCCGTGTGCCCAAACAGAAGCAGGAAGGATAAAATGACTTTTTAGATTTTATTATATGAAGTATCAACACTACGAACAATGTCGATAAAATAACAGTATTATCACCGACTACGCTATAACGCCATAACTCCCTCTTGAGATCAAACCACATTCTGAAATTCTAAAATTTGAGCACCGTTGAAATCGTCATAAAAATACATGTATTTTAGACAGCTGGGGTAACGTACTTATCTAAAAATTAACTGAGTTCACCATCTCAGTCGGGATGATACCTTTAAGGTCCTACATAATTATCAATAAAAAGCAGCTCCGTTTTATTCTAACGTATTTGCGATGATCGACGATATCGATAACCTGTATCCCTGATAAACAGAATCAACTGAGAGCACTTATAAAATAAGATTCGGGTGAGTTGATATGGTTATATAATGTAACATAGGTTAGCAGGATGAAATAGTGCACTACTGTTGAAAACTCGGCAATTTCTATAATTTATTTTAAAAATTAAACTAAAAAATAACTTGGTGGATTGGGTGAAGTTAGACATTAACACCAGTGGATGCCATCTCAGTGGTCCAGTAGGTTAAGCGTTCGCGCGCGAGACTGAAAGCCCTGGGTTCGAAAGCCGCGAGCGGGATCATGTATGCGCACCGCTGAGGAGTCCCACAATAGTACGAAACGGCCGCCCAGTGTTTCCAGGTTTCAATGGTGGTCTAACATCAATCGTTCCATGACCTCAATCAAAATCTTAACGATTTTCACAACTCCTAAACTGATAATAAATATCACTAGGAAATGTGGACCTTTGAACAAGTATCGAGCAGCTTCACTTCGCGAAAAAATATTTATTATCTATTTATGTATACATCTAGACATCGGACCCGACCGTTGTTGCTACCTTGACGCGGTGGTCGGGCTTGCCTGTTGTGATGAAACAACCAAGCTATACTGGCTGGAACAACCGTTCCTCAAGGTCTTACCATGTCAGACAGGTCGGCTGAAGAGCGGTAAGACTAAAAGCAACAAATTCAAAGTCCGAAGGCGAAGTCGTACTACTGACTGTACAGAGGTGTGACAGCAGTAAGGTGTTTCCTTCAGACAACAAACATGACGGCGATGCTGCCTTCTCACAAAGAGTGGTGAGGTTAGAAATGGTCGACCCTAAAAATACACACCTCGCCTTATCCCACGGATGTCCGTCTCCGGCGGTAAGGTCTCAACAAGTAAAGAGCTAACACGAAAATTACCCATAAAAACGTCGTGTGTGGCCGACCTCAAGCAGTTGTCCCTTGGGTTCTGAGGTCACGCTCTCAGGTCACTAAGACCACCTATAATCCAATTTCCTTTTCAGGTACTTCGAGAAGAACCCTTCCATGGTGTGGGCAACCGGGAAGTAAAAACCACCCTCATACCTCTAACAGCACTCAAGACCACTATATTCATAATCAACAATAAACATTGATACAAGGAGGCACCAAATGGATATGTTGCACATAGATCAGTCAATTTGTGTAAGGGCTTTGATATTACTCATGCATCCACAACGAAGCACGTAGTTTTCTTAGGGGACCCCACACCCGGAGCCTCCGACATAAAGATCTGATCCACAAGGCAGAAGAGCATCATAAGGAGATGCAGTTCGATGGTAGCCGCTGACCAACGATTGGTTCATACGCCATTTTTCCTTCAGAATCCGGCAGCCCATGTGTAACATTCGTTTGGAATCGGGATTTTCCATCTCCTCTCGGTAAATCCTCCATATCCACCTACCCTATTAAAGCGATGGGCTGCCGTTTTTCGTCCTGAAAATTTCGTAAACAACACCCCTTCGCGAGGAGACAGCGTGTAGGTCTTCCGTGATAGTGGCTGTATGCGCGTGACCACGTAAGGGCGTTTCCAGAGGGAGGGTGGACTCTTAACACCCTAGGCAGTACCAGGGCATTTGAAGGTTATAATTTCGTCAGTCAGTTACAACGTATGACGAAGCACATATATGGATCGGTTCAAATCCCCCCACCTTATTAGCACAACAAGATGAACACCGAATTCATTGTAGTCACTTCAATGGTAGTAATATATAAAAGAAAGATTGTGCATAAGGATATAGCACAAAAAGAAAGAATTAATTGGTAGAAAGAAAGATAAAAAAAGCAACTTTCATCTCACAGTTCAAGGGAAGACAGAGAGTGTATACACCTACGCCATTGTTATTAACTCTAAGCCATGCCACCCAGAATCTTTAATTATTGGTTACGATAGTCGCGCGAACCCCAAACAAGTAGTCTGCATCTACCAACACGACTCAGACCAGAAGTTAGTGACTTCAAGCATTGATGCCACGTTTTGGTTTGGCCACCCCTAAATTTCTTCCAATCATCCTCAACACTAGTCAGCATTACGCGTCGTGGTAATCGGAGTTCAGGCATACGCAACACGTGGCCCAACCATCTCAGTCGATGAAGATTCACTACTTCATCAACTGATTTACTATCATTTCCTAATACCCTGCGTCTAACCTCACTTTTACTTACCCGGTGATGCGAGCAATATTTCTAAGACATCTATCGTCAAATACTAGTAGCTTACGAGTATCTTCTGCTCTTAATGGCCACGTTTCGTAGTCGTAAAGTAGAACGGGACGAACTGTCGCACAGTATACTCGTCCCTCAATTAATAGACGAATATTTTGACTTCGCCGTAAGTGACGTACGTTGGTAAAAGCCAAACGAGCTTTTTGAATCCGTGCTGAGATTTCGTCCGACACCAAACCATTAGCGCTGGTCAGACTTCCAAGATAAGTGAAGTTATCGATGCATTCGACTACTTCACTCCCTATCCTTAGTTCAGGTGTTGATGCAGAGTAGTCCTGAAGCAACAAGTTGTTTAAAAGTGCATAATCCACTCTCGAATCAGTGGACGTGGCTTCGACTGCTGGAGTTTCTACTTTTTGGAAAACTTCGCACTTGTTGTACCAAAGTATTTAGAACCACAGCGAATTCCATACCCCGATGTATATTTTTCAATGATTGGTGTTAACAGAACCAGTTTGAAATAAATTAGTAATATTTGGTAATACCATATGCTTATTAGTGCCTCTGAAGACTAGATTGTAACCATGAAGTAAGTTTATGTAGTGAAGAGTCAAGAATTGTTGCAACTGTAAAAGTTTTATTCCTCAAGTGAGGAAAATGAGAACATGAGCACAAATACAAAACGAAATCTGAAGCATAGGAAACAAGATCATATAAATACGAAGAGTTTTATATGCTACTACTTGGTTTTGAAAAAAGAACTTAAACTCAACACAAAGGATATCCAAAAAGTTCAATAACATTTAACATCAAAATTTAAATCTAATTAACTCACTGAGTTTTTGTTAGTATTCACAAAGCTTGTGTTGCACAAGTCGGAATTAGAAATATTCATCTGTGAATTATTGAATTCATTATGAACTGGAGCTAAGCTTAAACTATACAGACGATCTGTTCCTGTGCCTTCTAAGGCCGGGTCAAGAGTTAAAGATGGATCAGGTTTACGATTACCAGCTAGTGCATACACCACATCATCAACAGCAGCAACTGCAGCAGCCGCATAATCAGCATCGTTATACACTTTTTCATCGTCTTCTCTATGAGGTGAATGAATAGAAGGAGAATGCCCACTGGGTTCAACTGGATCTTCTAAACTATCATTATGGTGCTCCAGTGTGAGGAGTAAATTTCGATCTTCATTACTGATCTTAGTCTGAGCATCATCTTTTGTTGGTGACTCCGAAATTATAGAAGCCTTAGTAAGTGGAGAACTTTCAGATTCACATGGTTCTTTGAATGTGGAGTCTTCTACTAAAGGGGACACAGATGTAGTTGTCTTAAACTTCTTATCGTCATCAGCAGACTGAATAAAACAATCATCTTTCTGAATCTCTGTTTCACACTCGATGTCAATAGAACTCTCACCAGACGCCACTACAGAAGATATAAGTTTCGTATTTGCAGAGAACTGAGTTGTTGTTGCTTTGACACTAATTGATGACTCGTGTGGTAGTATCACAGAATTAGTATTATCGTTAACGTCAGAAACATCAACGTAAACATCAGGGAAATCTGGTTCGGCAGAACACATGGCAGATGTTTTCGAAGACACTAACTCGCCACTATCTGTTGAAGAAGGAATTTTGTCTGACTGAGAAATACATCTAAGGTCATTGTTCACTACTGTATCGACATGAAAATCGTCGGAAGTTTTTAAAAAATACTCATCGTCAACAGCTGGTAATGAAGCTGAGTGTGATGAAATAACTTGCTCTAAATCCATTAAATTTTCGTCTGTCGCTTTAGATACAGAATCAAAATTGTCACCCGTAATTGCACATTCTTTTGCTGCCTGAATATTTGGTTCACAAGTAGTAGTATTTGTCCAGTTATTTGTAAGATTATCCGATACATCTGTTACATTCGCTGATGAGCAGACAGTATACTCCTTTGATACAACAACAGGGCTAAGAACGGTTGTTGCGGTATGTTCACCGATTGGTAAACACGAGGATATGGTAGTATGGATAGATGAGTTGCATTCTGAAATTATTTTAGGAGAGCTTAGTGACACACATGAAGTATGAACTGTATCCTTTAGAAGTAAAAGATTTGAATTAAAAACCTGATCGTCATGATTTTGACGAGTTATATAACTGTCCATATGCACAGGCGGCGTATTTGGTGGGGGAAAGTGAGAAACTGATGAAAGAGAAGAATTTGTACGTTCATTCTCGATAGAATGAGATTCGCAGGATAAGCTATGGTGAAGCATATCGGACGTATGTCTACCATCTAAATGTGTCCGAATAGGGGAATGAGATCGGAATGTTAGAGGAGAGCTGCATGGAGTAGAAACACTGGAGGATAACAAATAATTAGAAGACACAGATTGTGTTGTGTGTGTTGGGATTAGGATTGAAAGAGGGTCATCGCTATGTGCATAGGGCGTTCTTGACAAACTATGATTCGAAACTAACATAGGAACACTATCTATTGAGTGAATGACCTGAGTTTGATCGCAAACACCAACTGACATTGGTCTGCAAGTGATTGTGTCCATAAGTCGACTGCTTCTTGAATCAGGTGGAGTGTTAAGTCCAGAAGAAGAACGAACTGACGGTGAACCTTGATGAACCCTGGAGTCGGCAGCCGCAACAGCGGCTGCTGCTGCTAGGAGTGAACGTACATCTTCATCATCATCGACTAAGGGTGATACATCAGGAGAGTGTTTAATGCATAAACCAAGATCGTCTGTGAACGGCAACAAACGATTTGAAGAATTCCCAGGCGCTATTGTGGTCAAAGAGAGGGACGGTGTGAGGTCGTCCAAGACATTGGAAGCATGCTCTGAACAAGTAATCCCCAAAGATGTTGGGTGTGAATATTTTGAAGAACCCGGCTGAACAGACCCAATACTGACATCAATGTGGACGGTATTTGTAACGCCACTTTCAGTGACGGAAATAGAGGTGGGCACCTGTGAAAATTTTTAAGTTGGTTAGAACTTTGAGTAGAAAAAAGCGGTTCAAAATACTTAAAGTTAACTAATTTAACGGAGGGAAAACGTACAACTTACGTTTATTTCAGTATTTGTATCTAAACGAACAACCCAACCAGGAGTAATATTTTAAGTTCTACTAAACTTAACACAAATATATAACAAATTGTGTTCTGAGGTACAAGACATCAATAAATTTGGGTGAGGGAATCTGGTTCAAACAACATACGTAAGCAACGATCGTACAAAAATAGTAAAAATTTTCATAACTATGTAAAAACAAATGTAATAAAATCCTTACTACCTGGGCGCGAGTACACGCAAATAAACATCGAGATCCATAAATTGATAATATCCCATTGCTTAATATTTAACAGAGTAGAAAAAGGAGCATGTACATCCGTTATGCAGTTAATATCAACGCGGTAAAGGGAAACAACGATGAAAACCAAACATTAGTAATATCAATGATTGTAAAATACTAAATGAAAACAATATCTTTTGGAGAACAGAAAATCAAACCAAGAAACAAAATATATGAAACAATAGCAAAATTGAAGATTGGTAGGTAAAATAAAAATAAACATACATGTGAGTCATTGCAACTGATTTTAAACAATGTCATACAATGTATCCCATCATCGATCATGAGTATTATCTGAACTCCAAACTGGATGTTTGCACACCTGCAAACGACTAAGACTAATTATTAATGACTTCATGGACTGAATACGTTTGACAAGTCATCTAACCATCACAACCTTACCAACCGATTTCCGATTTTTAGTAGGTAACCTGAAACTAATCTCCGTAACATTAACTCAGCGGTTTTAGAATATACCACCAATATTTCTAGTTGACCACAATTAAATACTAATTTTTACATATATCCTCTACATGCCGAGACCGTGATTCAATACTACAATATAAAGCAAATGGAATAAATCAAGAACTGTACGCACTTTACAAGGCATACGTCTACATCTGTCAGTCAATTATTTACAAAGTAGGACCAGGTATTTATTTATTTATTTATTTGAACACATAAATATTGGTACAAGAGAGCGCCAATATATATGCGCCACACAAAACAATGGGAATTCGAAGAGAAAAAAAAAAAACTAAGGAACGCAAAAGAAAAAGAGAGTAATGACGAAGAGGTACAATCAGAAGAAATCTTTCAGGTAAAGGAGACACAACCACTTTTTATGAAGAAAGTAAAAGAAGGTTACAGCAGGATCGCCACTGGCTTCTATTCTGAGCCATATCTGATAACGTCTCTAGCCACTGTGTAGCACCATCTCTCGGACCCCAGCCAGGGAGTCGTGAAGGACCAACACAAGCCAGTCCTTTGCAGCTTTCTTTCATGCCACGACACCATGTCATGCACTGACCACCTCTCCGCTTCTTCCAACCAGTCCCAGAGTCGGCAAATAATGCACGACGTGGAATTCTCTGGGACGACATTCGGAGAACATGTCCAAGCCACCGAAGTCGGTGTTTCAAGATGGTGACACCAATTGAGTTATCATCTCTGTGCCCGAACACACGATGCCGAACCTCTGCATTACTGACATGGTGTTGCCACTGAATGTCAGCAATCCTTCGGAGACAGCGATGATCGAACACAGAGAGTCGTCTAACGTCCTCAACTCGGAGAGGCCAGGTTTCACAAGCATAGAGCAAAACTGCTCTCACCGACGCGTTGTAGATCCGGCCTTTTACAGCCAGACTAACATCACGAAGGCGCCAAAGGTGGCCCAGATTGGCATAAGCCGCTCTGGCTTTCACTATACGTGCATTGATCTCATCACTCACACCCCCACCAGCACTTATGCAGCTACCCAGATACACGAACTTCTCAACTACTTCTATCTGCTCACCATCCAGGGTGAGTACAGGATTAGAATCCTGCCAGTCTTGTAGAAGTACTTTGCACTTCGAAGGTGCAAAGCACATACCATACCTACGGACACTGATTGCCAACTGATTAAGTGCGGATTGCATGCCTTGGGCATTATCGCACAGTAAGACAATATCGTCCGCATACTCAAGGTCGAGAAGTCTTTCTCCAGGCAACAGATCCACACCGCCATTACTTACATTCATCAGAGCTGTTTCCAGAATGTCATCGATGGCAAAGTTGAAGAGGAATGGTGAGATTGGGCAACCCTGCCTAACCCCACTGCTCGAATGGAACAATGGAGAGAGGTGGTTGTATGCCCTCACTCTGCCTGAGGTGTTTTTATATAGGGCTTTTAGGATGTTAATAAACTTCTCAGGCACACCCTTCTTCAATAGACAATCCCAGAGAACAGTCCTATCCAACGAATCGAAGGCAGCCCTGATGTCAAGAAACACTACGATTGTTGGCCTTTGAAAAGTATGGCGGTGTTCTAACATTTGGCGGAGGGTGAAGATATGATCAATACATCCTCGACCAGAACGAAACCCAGCCTGCTCCTCGCGAGTCAATCTTTCTCGGGTTTTGAACAACCTACGAAGAATGACGGAAGCCAATAGCTTGGACGCAATCGGAAGTAAACTTATCCCCCGATAGTTGTTACAGGAACGACGTGAACCCTTTTTAAAGATAGGGACAACTATCGACTCATTCCATGACGTTGGTACACTCTCTAGTTCCCAGACCTTTGTAAACAACGTCGTCAATTCCTTAGTCAAAAAGTCACCACCATCTTTAAAAAGAGCCGGAGGTAAGTCATCTGGGCCCGGTGATTTGTAACACTTCAAGAGTTGGAGTTCCTTGCGGACTTCCGCCTCATTTGGTGGATCAGTGGTCACCGGCCATGGAGGCCAGGACAGTCCGACCGATGTTGTCGGAGCAGCAGACCAGTTGAACTGCCCTTCGAAGAATTCTGCCCATCGTCCGAGACGTCGATGGATGTTAGTGATCGACATCCCGTCATCCTCGCAGATTGTTTCACTCACACCAGACTTCTTGCTGCCAGTGGCTCGGATGAGGTGGAAGAGCTTCCGGCAGTTACCAGATGCAGCTGCTGCTTCCAGCTCATTAGCACGCATCGACCCCCAGGCTTCTCGGTCCTTACGCCAGCTTTGCCCGATTTCCTTACGTAAAATCCTTCGTTTATGGTCAAACTCACGGTTACCCGGAGTAGACCGACGGGCTTCAATGAGTTGTAAGGAACCAGAAGAAACCCAGTGCTTAAAAGCGGGACGTTTCGCAAACCCACAACTGACTGTTCCCGCCATTTTCATGACGTCATGCAATTGCAACCAATGCTCATCTATACTTTTCGGTGGAGTGGTAGCTAGCCTAGAGGCTAGCTCGGTTCGATACTTATTTGCAACAGAAGTTGCAACCAGCTTGCTGACATCAATCCTTTGGTGACGATCATTTCGTTGTCCACTGAAAAGTAAGGTAAGATTGGCGCAGACCAAGGCATGGTCAGAGTCCAGATAGGTACTCCAAAAGGAGTGGCAGTCTTGTACACAACCACACCAGCGGTAGCTGATCGCGATGTGATCAATCTGAGTCCAGGCTTGAGATGCAGAGGGAGGACGCCAGGTGGCACATCGGCGATGACTGTGCCGAAAGTTAGTGCTAGCCAGAAACAGGTTGTGGTCTGCGCAAAGTTGCAGTAGACGGTCCCCGTTATCTGACCTGCGACCAACGAGTCCTCATCGGCCACCTAAACGACTCTCTTCTGTGCCTAGACGCCCGACCTGAGCATTCAAGTCTCCGGCTCGTACTACAATATCTGTCGAACGCACTTTCTGGAGAAGAACTGATAACTGGTGGTAAAACTCATCCTTGATTGCATCCGGGCTGCAATCTGTCGGGGCATAGGCGGAGATGACGAAAAGACATCGTTTCTCACGCCGATTTCTTCTCACTTTGATGGAACTTTCTAATCTAACAGCACATAACCGACTGTTAATGGGGATCCAATCGACTAGTGCTGCCTCAGCTCTAGCGCTTAGTGCGACACCGACGCCGGCAAAACCAGACGAAGATGCCACAGGGTCCCCGGATAAGCGCACGTAAAACAAGCTTTTCGAAGCGACAGATGGAGATCGAATTTGTAGTACTTCGCCAGAGTCTTGAATACGGGTCTCGGATAGACAACACACGTCGATATTAAGACTTTCCAAAGACATAGCCAGCCCTATCTGTTGTCCGACCTGCATAAATGTGCGAACGTTGAAGGCAGCCAGTTTGAATGATGCACGTGGTTTCAGAAAATCTGCTTCAGTCCTCGTATTCGGTGGTAACATACAATTTTCAACCGGACAGTGACTCGAGAACGTTTAGATACAGTCGGAATTCCACCAAAGACGAGCCGCTGTATAAGTATAAAAGAAGGTGAATAATGTGGAAAATAATAACAATAATGATAATAATAACAATAATGACAATAATAGTAGTAATAATAATATTAGTATTAATAATGACAATAATTGTAGTGATCATAATTTGAATCAATTGATTGTTTTTCAAAGCGACAAAGGTAATTTCCATGGACATAGAGTTCATCATTTGTGTGTGGGCTGTGATACTGCCCGGGTGCCCAAACCGAAGCAGGTGGTTATCTTAGGGGGCCACTCCCCGAGCCTTTGACCTAAAGGTCTAACCCACAAGGCAGTGGAGCATCGTAAGGAGATGCAGTCCCATGGTAGCCGGTGACCAACGATTGGTTCATACGCCATTCGTTCCCGCAGGATACTGGAGCCCATGTGCACCATTGGTTTGGAATCCGGTTAAAGCGCCGGACATTCGCTTTTCGTCCTCTCATTTTCGTAAACAACACCCCCGCCACGAGAAGGCAATGAGTAGGACTTCCCTGGCAGAGGACCAGGTACATATATGCATCAGTTCAAATCCCCCCACCTTATTAGCACAACAAGATGAACACCGAATTCATTGTAGTCACTTCAATGGTAGTAATATATAAAAGAAAGATTGTGCATAAGGATATAGCACAAAAAGAAAGAATTAA